CACCCCTAAATGCATTGAAGCAACTGCCATGTGATTGGTTGATTAGATAATTGCATTAATGAGAAATTGAACAGGTGTTCCTAATAATCTTTTAGGTGAGTGTAAACTCCAATGCAGTTAACCCCGATGTAACAAATCAACTTCTTAACTGGCGTCGTAGTACTGATTAGCATCGATTGAGACAACCCGATTTTGTCAACCCCATGTTCAGAAATTGACTCCGGGTTAAATCTAATTTGGTTAAACCCCCTTCGTAGTACAGGCCACTACACTTGTCAGAACTTGTATCCAAATGCTCCCTTTACGTGATTGTAAGACATTCTCTAAAAATGTTGTTGCAATTTACACAAACCTTTCATTTTAGAGACCCTTCAATATAGGTTTATCCCCCTGTTTTTGACAGTGCCTTCTAAGTCTTGGTTCCAAAGGGAATTAATACACTAATTCCAGTTTCATTCACTGTTTCTGCCCCCTGGTTCACCACTGGTCTTCGACTTATGAAAGCAAAAGGACGACAACTTGAACGACTGTATAGGAAAACTGGTCTCACTATACATAAAGAACTATATAATAACCATATTTTGCATTACAAGGATTCCATTGCCGCTACTAAATCTCAGTACTACTCCAGTTTAATCACTGCTAATCATGGAAACTCAAAGTCACTTTTTACTATTTTAAATAATATTACTCAACCACAGGATTTCTTGCCTCCTCATTTGTTTACAAATTCCTTTTGTAACTCCATTATGTCATTCTTCACTGCTAAAATCTGTAATATTTATCAACATCTTGACTCCATTCCTTGCCAATATCACACCTTTGTTGACCTTTATCCACCCATAAACACATTCTCTTCTTTTTACCTGCCCTCTTTCTCAGAACTCACTGAACTCATCCAGAAATCTAAACCGTCTACATGTCAACTCGACCCTTTACCTACATATCTTGTCAAATCCTGTCTTCCCTCTTTGCTCCCTATCATCGCTTCCATTATTCACTCCTCTCTTATTACTGGAATTGTCCCAACATCCTTCAAAACTGCCGTTATTACACCTATTTTGAAAAAGCCTGGTGCTGACCCCACAAATTTCAACAATTTCCGTCCTATATCTAATTTACCTTTCATTTCTAAAATTCTCGAAAAAACAGTTGCCACTCAAATTCATTCTCACCTTGCTCAAAATAATCTTTATGAACAGTTCCAGTCTGGTTTCCGCCCACTTCACAGTACTGAAACAGCACTTGTGAAAATCACTAACGACCTTCTTATGGCAGCTGATTCTGGACTACTCACCATTCTTATCCTTCTTGACCTGAGTGCAGCCTTTGACACCATTTGTCACACCACCCTCCTTAATAGACTATCATCCATTGGTATTGTTCAGACTCCACTAAAATGGTTAAAATCTTATCTCTCTGGCCGCACTCAGTTCATTCAGCTTAAATCATTTAAATCCGTTCTCTCCTCTGTCACTACAGGTGTGCCCCAGGGCTCTGTCCTGGGGCCCCTTCTTTTTATCATTTACCTTCTTCCCCTCGGTAATATTTTACGTAAATTCAATGTTAATTTCCACTGCTATGCGGATGACACCCAACTCTATCTCACTACAAAGCCTTCAGCCACTTTACCACC